GGTATACTGCAGAGCCTGCAAGGACTTGAGCAAGGAATGGTTATGACTTTTAGCTTTTAATTCCTCATCTAACTTTGGGTAGGATAGGGGGAGGTCTACCAAACATGATTTCAAAAGGAGAGAACCCCTCCAGGTTGGGGGTACACCTGGCCTGTAAGTGGGCAAAGGGCAGGAGGTTGGTCCAGTTTTCATCAGTTTCTGGGATAAATTTAGTTAAAGTCCTTTTAGAGTCCTGTTCATACCTGCCCTGAATCTGTGGCTCGTATGCACAATGGAGTTTCCAATTCATGCCTAAGAATTGAGCTATATTTGCTACAAAGGCGGGGCTGTTATCTGATTCTATTACTGCTGGTAGCCCAAATCTAGGTATAATCTCCTGGAGTAATTTCTTGACCATTATAGAGGCAGTTTCTATCCTGGTGGGATAAGCTTCAACCCATCCCGAGAAGGAGTCTATACTTATACCTCCCAGTCCTCTCCTGGGGAGTTTCCCTGGGCCCAAATTCCCAGGGGGACCCCCCCTACCTTGCTTAGTATTTACCTGTACACAGATAGTACATCTAGTGACTATGCTTTTAATGATCTTATCTAAGCTTGGTATATAGTACCTGCCTCGCAGAAGTTCAGAAGTCTTGGTGACGCCTAGGTGGGTAGTCTGGTGTAACTAACGTCCGACCTAGAGCCTCTGGGACCAACAATCTGCCATCTGGTAGAGTCCACCAACCATTTGGTCCTCTGGTAGTTTGCTTCTGTTCTGCCAATTCCTCCTCTTGTAAAGGCCCCACTGGTTTTTGGGCGGCTTCCTTGGCAGCTTGGTCTTCAGCTGGTTTCCTTGGGCGGTCTAGGGTGACTACCACCGCCCACTGTATACCAGATTTCATCCTGAACATAACTGCTCCCATCTTGTACATAACAGTACCTTGTCTAGTGATGATAGCAGGACATCTGTCAAGTCTGGGCGAGCCGTTTGTACTGCGTCTGTTACTTCTATGCAGTCATGGATGGGCTCCTTCGAATCATCATCTGAGAGCAGGCTAGCAGGGTTGATGGCCAGTGTCTTATGGAATCGGATGCAGGGCTGGTCCAGGAGAAGAGCTTGGTACTGGGTGACCCTGGTGTTTGACATCCATCTCTTCAGAGCATCTCAAAGGAGGGCTTCCACAGCATGGGGTGTTGTCAGGGCTAGTTCCTGGCCCCAAATCAGCTTATCTGCCTCCTTTACCAGCAATGCTGTGGTGGCCACTGCCCGGAGGCACGCTGGCCACCCTGCAGCCAC